GGGCAAGGATTTTACCCATTGCCATTTCGAGAACTCTGGTTCTCTCTTCGAGCTCGGTTGTCCGAGCAGGTTCTGTTGACCTTTCAGGTCGTTCTTGCTGTGAAATGTGTGGTCGAGAAGGTCTTTGTCTTGTTCCTATTGGAATTTGGGACTGTTCAGGTTGGGCCGCATACCCAGTTGGTGTTCTTTCATCATCTGTCTCACTTAGGGGATCCTATTCAGCTCCCCCTACAAAAAGATTTCTAGGCATTGGCCCAAAGTCATTCAACCCAGGCTCAGACACTTGCACGTCCTCCTGTTCGTCCATTTCATTTCTTGGAGGGCGACCTCCTGTAAAGGTACGAACCATTTTGTCTCTCAGCAGGTTAAGTCACACGACTTCTTGTCCGAGTTCCCACAGACGGCGCCAATGTTTCGGCAGCTTCGCAATCCAACACTGTTGAAGTCCTCGGCTGCTTCTACACCTGAAAATCCCGAGGATGTCTCCTCGGGGAAAACACTCCAACGCTCAAGTCAGCAATACTCAATATTCTAGAGAGAGATGTTCTCAAGGAGTAATTGCGGAGAGAGAAGCGTAGAGATTAATTACCTTCTTCAGAGGTGGTTGGGGGGTATTTATAGCCCCAAGTGTTGACATGCATCTGCACATGTAAACCTCTTATTGGCCCACGTGGTGCTACCCACGTGGGTATGCCTCCTCCTTTTGGGCCTGTGGGTGCGTAGTTGGGCCTACTGCATGTGGCTCTCAGAGGGCGTTGGGCCTAATCCCAACAGTAATTAATTGAATTTCTTAATATTAAGATTTCATTTCTATCTTACCATGAAGTATTTACTGCTTTGCTCTTTGAACCTCACAGTTGTCTTCAGAAAAGCTCTAACGAGCCAAAGATAGGCTCCGCCACTTTCCTTCTAAGCCATTCTCACCATGATTTACCTTTTGCAATTTTAAACTAACTCAACCATCAACTCAACCAAGCTAACGGAAAGTAATAACTTGTCAGATTATGTTGATTTCTAATTCCCACAAACGATGTACATTGAAAGCAGGATTCGATTGCGCCCCTCCAAAAGTTATTATCTACTTTGTCCCATTATCTGTAAACAGAACTGAAAAAAGGTGAACCCCCTAATTATGATTTACATTCAACCTATTCTTAGGACGTGTGACTCAAACAAACAACATTGCACCAGAATTATTATTAATTTAATTAATGTGGACAATTTTTTAATAGGTGCTGCCATGTTAGCTGCAAAACGATGCTTGCATCCAATGAACTTTGTCCTTTTCTGGCGTGAAACCATAGGGAATTTTTAATTGAGGTAATATTTGGATCTCTGACCTTCGATATATAATCTAACGGACCAACCTCGCCCTTACAATCATAAACCTCTTTATATATATATATATATATACACACATAAAGCAGAAAACGATCATCATCATATATTATTTTAGAGAATAAATCAGATCATATACTCTACCTTAAGAAGAGGCAAACCTAACAGTCAAATGATGTGATGAAATTACAAATAAGTGCACTAGTAATAATGAATAGAGTATAGTTTTTATGTAAAATGTACTAACAAAGATTAGTGGAAAATGATTATGAGACTTTCCAGTTCAACACCTATGTCAACATTAAGTCAATTTAATTATTAAAATATAATATAAATGTAGTTAGTTTAATTGGTTCCCTCTTGTTGTATACATAGTTGTATTATTAAATTTTTTTATATTTAATTTCATATTATAAAATAAAAATTTCTTAATGAAAGTATTATAAAGTATGTTAAATTGAAAGATGCCTACATTAGTATTCATAATTAATTCTAAATTTATTTGAACAATAAAAATGAAAAAAAAAATAACTAAAGAAAACTAAATAAGAAAACAAAAATAAAATCACTCATACCGTCTGGTAACTTGTATAATGCTAATTTAAATTAATATTTTCATAAATAAAATTTTTTTTGAACATGAGGAATTTTGAGGAACGGAAGATATGTTTTTAGATCATTAGTGGGAGTCAAACTCTCAACCAACTAAATCCAAACACTTAAAACTTAAAGAATAAATGATTGAACCTGAAGACCCAATCCAAATAAATTTAAATTATTTATAATGGTAATTCTTAATTAAATAAGTTAGGCTAAGTTGGCTTATAAATTTTGGCCCACGTCATCTTTTTTTACTGTAGTCTTGATTCCCACGAAATTTAGGTTAAAGAAAAAAAAATTGGACTTTCCTGCTAGTCAATATGCTACGTAACTAAAAAAAAAAAAAAAATCGACGGAAAGGACCATAAGGGGACTAAAAAAATAATCTCAAGAGATTAAAAAAGAGACTTTTTCAGTTAAGAGATTAAAAAGGAGTTCTGTATCAAAATTGAGAGAAAAAATTAACCTATATTTTTTTTAGCATTAACTTTTAAGTATTCAAAAATTACATTAAATTTTGATTAACTTGAAGTCGAATTATGTTAGATTCTATAAGAAGAAAACTTATGAGCACTTAGATTCAAATTCAACCCAGATGAAGGTTCAAATCAAGCCCAGCACCTAGTTCATGATGTACCTAGATCTAGGGTCAAATTGAATCCAGTACTTTGGTTCATTCTGGGTTCATGACAAACCCAATATCTGGGTTTAAATCAAACCAAAGAACAATGCTTGTCATCTTAATTTTTTTGTGTTTGTTTGAACCTATAAGCAAATTATCATTGAATTGTATTTTTCTTTGATTATTTTAGAAAAACAAATTGAGTGGAGATTGATGATGATAACATTAGATAATGTTTTTTTTAAATATTCTAAATGGAGAGGGGATTCACAAATGGGTAATTTGGGTGAAGATCTAATGTGGATTGCTAGATCTCAGTATTTCAAGTGTTTTCAGTGAATGATTTGTGTTGAACAAGTGAGGGATACGGCTGGAAAAGAGACTATTTTATTTTATTTTTAGAATTGACAGTGTGTGGAGGGTGTAGGTTCAAAGGGTGAACCTATCATTATCTTATCTAAAAATAATTTAGTGCAATTAACATTGCCGGCCCCATCTAACTAGCAACAAATGAACTGGCGGCCGCCCAAGAGCCCGATCAGGGCTTCACTTCCACGTAACCGAACCGGCCAGCACCATAACAAGAACAAATTTTAAGGGCTGTTCCGCTAAAGAAACAATTTTATTGGGAAAAGTTTTATTAAAAAAATGATTAGAAAAATATTATATAAAAAATTAATAAGTTTAGTAATAAAATTTTTTAATTGTTGAATTGTTAAACTTTCAGTGTTTGACAAGAAATTAGTATAGGAAAAGTTAATAAGAAAGTCTTTAAATAAAAAAATTTGAAAAAAAATAATATTTTATCTTTAAAAAGTGTGAAAAATGAGGTTTACAAAATGAATATTATGTTAGAGAAAATAAAAGTCAAAAATATTTGTTACAGTATTAAGGGAATAATATTTATCTACTTTATATCTTAAAAATTAAAAAAAAATTATTTCAAGATTATCTTTCAATAAATAACCATTAAAGATGACTAAAACACGATATTTTTAAAATATGAATTGAATTATTTTTTGTTTTTTAATAATATTTTATTAAAATAACGTTGTTTTAAAATAATTTTTTTTTAATTCACTTTTAAAGGTAAAGTAAAAAAGTACTAATTTCTAGTATTTTTTATTAAATAAAAATAATTAACAAGAACTAT